AAGACTGATCAGCTGAGGAAGGATCCACAGTTCTGTGATGTTCCCTCTGAGGCTATTAAGAAACCTGCCAATTTTTCTTGAAGATAAACAGAAGATTTGAGCATTGGGGAGGTTGAACATATACTTAAGAATGCAGAAAAGACTCACATTTCATAGAGGAGCGTATTGTGTCTGGAACAATAAAGAGTTAGAAACATATGCAGTAAACGTGTGAAATAGTGTTCTCCTAAATGGACAGGATCTAGATGATCTCTAACACAGAGTAAGAAGCTCCTGGTGTCACCTTAATGATTTATAGAGACAGTTGCTGTTGCTTGTTGCATTCAGTCAGGGTATTTGGCATGCAGATCCAAAATAGGAAGTGTTGAAGACCCTAACATCCAGTCCTGAATTCAAGAAAGCTGATTCTTCATCAGGATTTCTGTGAGTGAACCAGTGGCCCTAGAATTATTGGTTTCCCATGTGGGCATCCCATACCCTGAGACTAGCTTCTGTCATAAGACTTCACACAGTAGGATATGACATTTGCCTTTGGAGAGGTTATTCATGATGAGTAACTAGTGGCGACATCTTTAGACAGCAAACGTCTGAGGAACATGATTATTGGAAAACTTCTCCTGGACATCCCAGACCAATGGCAGGAACACCTGTAGTGTTCTGTTATGGAGCAGTGTCAATTGGACTGTGTCCACCACTGCAACCATTAACCCCCAGAGAGGAAGCTGATTGAGAGATCCTGGCTCAGCAAACAACCTCAGATAACTCGATGAAGCCTCTTCTCCTAGATTCTAGAAATAAGCCCGGGCTTCTGCTCATAAGAAACATGTGACATAGATGAATGAGGTTTGGCGTGTACACCAAAGAGTTTTTTTCTCAGTTACAAACAATGCTATGGCTCTGTAGTAGACAAAGATCTTGATGGAGATAAAGGACACAGGACACAGCAGACCATCCATCTAATGAAGAACTTGTATCCTCTCTTCTTCTTCTTGCGTGGCTATGGTCCAGGTGGGAGTAAAGAAACTGTCAACGAGCTGACAAATAGGAATGTGGGATATGCCTTCTTTAACTTCACAGGGCAGACAAAGTCATAATGGCTGTGTCCAGACTCAGGGGTTTTTTCGAAAAAAGTAGCCTTTTTTCGAAAAAACATCACCTGCATCTAGACTGCAGCTGCGTTCTTTCGAAATTAAATCGAAAGAATGCGGCTTTTCTTTCGACGGCGGTAAACCTCATTTCACGAGGAAGAATGCCTTTTTTCGAAAGTGCTCTTTCGAAAAAAGGTGTTCTTGAATGCCAACAGGTCTTTTTAGAAAGAGAGCATCCAGACTCACTCACTGCTTTCTTTCGAAAAAGCGGCTTGCTTTTTCGAAAGTACTGCTTGCAGACTAGACGCTGTTTTTCGAAAGAGGCTTTTTCGAAAGATACTTTCAAAAAAGCCTCTTTCGAAAGAGGCTTGCAGTCTAGACATAGCCTCAGTGACACTTCCTGAATGGGGAGGGCAAGAGTCTCCATTCAGAACCTGGTAGTCCTCACTGTAGGGACATAGGAGAAGAGGGCAGGGCAGGGAGATATAAAGGATAGTTTACACTCCTTTGGGCCTCAGTCTAAGCTATTAAGAAAAACAGTGGGAAAAAACTCCTTGGGACAGGCTGAATGGTCCTGAAGATGAAGACTGCAGATTGTTTTAAAAAATCTTGTTTCTTGTCTGCCCTCTAAGGCAGTGATTCCCAACCTTTTTCCTATAGAGGAACCCCTAAAATAATTTTTCATATCCCGAGAAACCCCTACCTAGAAAACATTTGCTTGGCCAGAAAAAGTTGACAGTGGGGAGCGCAATTCAATTACTGCTAAATTACTGTCAAGGAAATTTATTTGTAAAGAGCTGTTTTATATATATAAGATTACATTGTAAGAAAAAAAATTATTTATTTATTCCATGATTTCTCGTGGAACCCCTGATGATGGTCTGCGGAACCCCAGGGTTCTGTGGAACCCTGGTTGGGAAACACTGCTCTAAGGTATAGAGAAAAAAATATATATCAGGGA